ATTTTTTATTGTGCTATTATGTATATATCTCCTAATATATTATAATATCATATTAGTAATATATACATGTATATAAGCACATAATATAGTTATGATATATGATATATATATATAGGCCTGGATTTTGGAGGCAATATATTACCACCTCCTTCACAAGAATAATACTAACAAGATTATGGAATTTATGTGTATATATTTGCATGTGTTTTACACTAAGATTTTAATTAAGAGAGTGTAATCAGTATATGATTTCCTTTTATTGTTAGTTATCTGTTGTTGCTCATTCTTCATGATAAAAAACGACATCATATTTAAGTTATTAAATCCTCCAGAAGGTTTCTTTTTGGTGTCAATAAGACATATCCCCCAATTCACAGGGGGACTTACTTGGCAACTAGAGAGGAAATATCTATATACTTTCTTTTCTTCTTTTCTGTTTCACTTTTCTTTTTGAGCAAAATTATATTCATAAAATATTTTTTTTTTAAAGATGTAATGAAATTTTTTGGCATTTTGGTGAAATATCAAAATATCTATATGATTTTAAAGAGGGAGAAACGCAGAAAAACCACAATAGTTAATGATAAATAGATATTGGAAAAAAAAATTTAAATGAGAAATAATTATGAATGTTTCATAGCTGTTAAAGTTATGTCTACATAAATTACATTTCTGAGTATTTGCTTCTTCTTCTTTTCTAATATTTGAGATTATGTTTTCCTGTAAAATGTGTTATGTGATGTCTCTTTTAGGATTTTACATTTAATGAGAAATAATTATGAATGTTTTAGTTGTCATTTAGAATTTTTATCGAATTTGAAATGTTTAATTATAAAATAACCCAAACAACGGAGGCAGAGCAGGTGGAAAGCATGTACATGGATTTTCTAGATGGATTTTCTTTTTCTTAATTTAATAATAATGGTAATAATGTTGGAATTTGGAAGAAAATAAGTCAAACAGTTGATATAAACTCAAACTTCTCCATAACCAACATCTTGGTTCTATGGTGTAGTGGTTAGCACTCTGGACTTTGAATCCAGCGACCTGGGTTCGACTCCCGGTAGGACCTTCCTAATTAATTATTATTTTATATTATTAATTTTAATTGTTTGTTTGGGCCTTTATTTTTTGTTAAGATCCAATACTTACAATTGATATGAATGAAAAATCAGACCCATTTAAAAAGTAGGAGTTCTTGGAACTGGCCAAGTTTTTGTTTCCCTCCTTTCCTAAAATAAATCACATTTTAGAGAAAAATATGATAACTATCTTAAATTGGGATCGATCATATATTTGGTTACTTCAAAATCAAATATGTGGCAGTTACATGTTCGAAGATTAACCAAATACTAGAGTATAATTTTTTTTTTTTTTTTTTGTCACAATGCTGGAGTATAATTTTATCATTTGGTTTAACAAATGCATTTTGCACTTTCAAATAACATATGATACAAAGTATAATCATAGAGTATAACATTGTTTCCAAATTTTACTTTGGAGATTGTATTGTTGATATTGAAACAACGCTTTTAAATCTAGATATTAGATATAACCAGTTTATGTTTAGATATATTTGATTTTGGAAATTTCAAATTTAGATTTGTTAATCCGCTACAAACTCTAATAGTTTGTATGAGAGGACAAAGAAGTACCATGAATAGTAGTATTAGTGACATGATTTGGCAATGAATTTGATTGAGACTTTCCTTTTCATGGCAAAACTTAAAAGTTAATTCATTTTATTGTTCATTTACCTTTGGGTTGGTAACTGGCGCATAGACTTTTCAAAATACATTAAATGTTTACTTGTTTATTTAGATAAAGTAATTAAAAAAGCTTTCATATCATCATTGTCCATTTTTTGGGGGTTTGTACGAAATGCAAAGACTTTTGAAAAATATTATGCATACTAATGTTAGGATTATTAAATCTGACTAGTTATTTTTATAATCTTAATCAGCATCACCATTGCAACTCTTCTCTCATTCTAATTACAGGATAGATTTTCTTCATTTTTTTTAGTTCATATCTAGATGATCTAAACCATTTTTTTTTACTTAGGGCTTTAGACTTTTAAACAAAAACAGTTTTATTAAATTACCAATGTCACATACTCAAGTATTAAATAAGAAATCTACATATATTAACTCGGTATGAAATGTATTATTACGTACCTATTTTAACAGGTATGGATTGCACAACATTTGTATCTCCGACTTTGTCCGTAAAGAGTTTAAACTATTCTCTCATGAAAACAATCGAAGGTCCATTTTCTTTTTGTGTGATGGGTTGGAACATGCCCAAAAAAAATCATTTTTTGTGCATTGTAGAAAGAGTTGAATGCCAATGTCAAAATATCTAGATTAGCTGCTCGGGTTTTAGAGAACAGATTACCATCATAATGATCATAGCCTTGCTAGTACCATCACTAGAATGGCTCAAGACTACGTAGGAAGCACCAATGTCAACCTTTTATTACCAATTGGACATTTTGGTACCCAGTTGTCGGTAAGTATATAATCGATAGGATCATTTTCTTGTTTTTATTGAAACTCTTACTTATCATAGTGCTATCATATAGGGTGGACAAGATGTTGTTTTTATTGAAGCCCTTACTTATCATAGTGTTATCATATAGGATGGACAATATGCATCAAGTGTAAGATATCTTTCTACTAAGATCTCTCCAGCTATAAGGATTTTGTTTAACAAGGATGATGATGACAATCTTCTCCACCTTAGAGAAAGATAGATGCTGATTGATATATAATTATTTTGAATATGCTATCATGCAAGTTGTTTTCTTTTGAAAATTAAAATGTGAAAATCATATAATTATAGAGTCTCTCTTTACTATCAATTTCGACTTTGAATCCAGTGACTTGGGTTCGACTCCCAGTAGGATCTTTTAAGTTATTACTATTTTTAAATTATCAATTTTAATTGTTTGCTTGGGCCTTTATTTTTTGTTAAGATCCAATACTTACAATTGATATGAAAGAAAATATCAGACCCATTTAAAAAGTTGAGTTCTTGGAACTGGCTAAGTTTTTGTTTCCTAAACTATTATAAATCACATTTTAGAGAAAAATATGATAACTATCTTAAATTGGGATCGATCATATATTTGGTTACTTCGAAAAATCAAATATGTCATATGTGGAAGTTACATGTTGGAAGATTAACAAAATACCTGGAGTATCATTTTATCGTTTGGTTTAGCAAATGCATTTTGCACTTTCAAATAACATATGATAAAAAGAAGTACCTTGAATAGTAGTATTAGTGACATGATCTGGCAATGAAGTTGATTGAAGCTTTTGTTTTCATGGCAATGAATAAATAAGACTACGGTCTCTAATTACAATACTTAAGAGTTAAAACATGAGTTGTCATTTTATTGTTCATTTACCTTTGGGTTGGTAACTGGTGCAGAGACTTTTCAAAATACATTAAATGTTTAGTTGTTTATTTAGATAAAGTAATTAAAAGAGCTTTCATATCATTGTGCATTTTCTTGGGGTTTGTGCAAAATGCAAAGACATGAAATATTATGCATATTAATGTTAGGATTATTAAAACTGACTAGTTATTCTTATAATCTTAATCAGTATCACCATTGCAGCAACTCTTCCCCCATTCTAATCATTGGGTAGATTCTCTAAACCAATTTTTTTTTTTTTTTTGGTATGAATGTTAAGATTTATATTGAGCCTGATAATACAATGTTGTTGTTGAACAACTTATTACAAGAGAGAGGAGAAAACACACACCAACACCAACACTAAGGAACCATGAGGAAGTAGACCTCGAGAAGAGAGGGGGAACTTGCAGTTGCCCCAGTTACGGAGAGGAGGCGATCCCTCATAGTTCGATCTATAGCGGCTTTGATGGCGGAGACCAATTTTTTTACTTAGGGCTTTAGACTTTTTAACAAAAAAGATTTCTTAAGTTATCAATGTCACAGACTCATTATTATAGTACGTAGAAATACATTTCATACCGAGTTAATGCGGTTAGGTAATTTACATTTAGTGGAAATTAAAAGAAAATTATAACGAACATAATTTCCCACAAAAAAAAATAAAAGAAAAAGGAAAAGAAACCCTTACTCTATTAGTCAATCGCCTTCCCTAGTCCTCCTCTCTTCAAGCTGCACAGAAACCACCGTATCTCCCCACTACCTTTCCACAGAGAGAGAGAGAGAGGATCCGTCGGTGTATCGGTCACTGACACTGCATCCGATCGTCGCCGGTAAGATGATTTCGTTACCATCCGATGAATTTCTTACCAGAGGAACTTCTCTTTCTTTCGAATTCTGACTTGAACTTTTTTTTCAATTCCAAACGCTTTCTCTTCTCTCCGTCTCCTATTTTCGTTGTGCTTCGATGCTGATCTCTAGTTTCCCCCCCCCCTGCTTAGCAGTTTAAGTGTCGTTTCTTAGTATTTCACTAGATTTAGACGATTTTTTTTTCCGCATTCCGTCGTTATGTTTATGTTCGTTTCGCTCAATGTTTCTCTGGATTTGAGAAATGTAAGTTCGCTGCTCTGGATTTTGTTCTATTTTTTCTGATTTGTTCATACGGTTTCCGTTTAACGATTTATTTTTGTTGTTGTTGTTGTTTCATTTTCACAATCTGTCCAAGGAAGCAAATCACAGTTCCTTTTTCGTTTTTGCTTTGTTTTCTGTATAAATCATACTTTGTTAGTGACGTAGGCTGGATCTGAGATATTTTTGTTTCACTGCGTCTTTGTGTACAGATTATACTTATTTTGAGATTGATTTGTGGAATGTGCGTAGATAACTGAGCTGATTTAGACACTGTGATGCCTCATTATCAACCTGATGGTGAAATTTTCGCTTATTCGTGTTGTTACATTCAGATTTACAAGTGTGGATTTGCTCCAGCATCTTTATTCTGGAATTGATGGATCAGGTTAGTGAAATGATTGTTTCAAATTCATTGTCACTGGTTACTCTTTGACATATTAACAGTTATAAAATGGTCATACTAATGCAGTACGAGAAAGTTGAGAAGATCGGTGAAGGAACCTACGGTGTGGTTTATAAGGCGCGAGACAAAGTGACGAATGAGACAATAGCTTTGAAGAAGATCCGTCTGGAGCAGGAGGATGAAGGTGTACCTAGCACAGCAATTAGAGAAATCTCCCTCTTGAAAGAAATGCAGCACAGCAACATTGTCAAGTATGAAGTTAATACCATTGTCTAAAACCAATACTGCATTGATATGGTGAACAATATTTAATGATTTTTTTGGGGTACACAGGTTGCAGGATGTAGTGCACAGCGAGAAGCGTTTGTATCTGGTTTTTGAGTATCTTGACTTGGATCTCAAAAAGCACATGGACTCATCTCCTGACTTCTCAAAGGATCTACACATGATCAAAGTGAGTGCTAAGAAACTTTAGGCATTGTTTTCATTATGTGCTTAATGCATTTTTATGTGTAGGCGCTTTCTTAAATTTACAAACCAGATAATACGGTCTTACTGAGGTGTTTGGTTGATCATGACGCCAGAAACTTGGTTCTAGTAATTTTGACACATCTATCTATTTAGTGTCGCTGAATATTGTTGAAATCTGAAGTTATGTAATGCCCTCCCGATGCCTATTGAGTACTCAATACAGGCTGATCAGAGCTGTTCATCCACTGTTTGCAGACATACCTTTACCAGATTCTCCGTGGAATTGCGTATTGCCACTCTCACAGGGTTCTTCATCGTGATCTAAAGCCACAGAATTTGTTGATTGATCGCCGCACGAACTCACTTAAGCTTGCAGATTTTGGACTGGCCAGAGCATTCGGCATTCCTGTCAGGACATTTACTCATGAGGTGCCAATGAGCTTTATTCTTGTTCATATGTTTCCGTTATGAAATCTTTTGGAATGGCTTATTATTTATTTTTCTCAGAGAGAGAGAGAGTAAAGAGCCACTTAAGTATTATCCCACTTTTGCATCTGATAAATGTGATTAAAGGGCTTATACATTTCATATAGATTTAAAAGTCTTACACCTGAAAAAAACATTTCTTTTTGGCAGTTGAACTATGTTAGATTCATAAATACCATAAAGAACATCCAGTGCTACATTCAGATTTCACATATTTACATGGTTATTCCCTCATTTTTTGCTTATTGTACCTTCTAGGTGGTTACTCTCTGGTACCGAGCACCAGAGATACTTCTAGGATCTCATCATTACTCTACCCCCGTTGATATTTGGTCTGTGGGATGCATATTTGCCGAGATGATTAGCCAAAAGCCCTTATTTCCTGGAGACTCCGAGATTGATCAACTCTTCAAGATTTTCAGGTTTCGTCACTAACATCCTTGATCCACTTTTCTTTCTGTATATTACAACTGTCTGCAATGATATAACAAGGGATTCTGAAAACATTCTCAACTAGAAATAGAACTTTCTGAGAGAAGTAATAAAGAACATAGATACTGAAATGTTAACTGATTATAAATGTTTTACTGCTACGTTTCTTGTCTTCTTCCAGAATCATGGGAACTCCACACGAGGATACATGGCCCGGGGTAACTTCTCTACCGGATTATAAATCTGCTTTCCCTAAATGGAAACCAACGGTACGTCAAATTTCTTCATTCACTTCTACATCGCGTTTTCAGTAGACAAGAGGTCACTTCACAATATGATTCTTGCCCATGTTTTGTTTTTTTTTCAAATACCACAGGACTTGGAATCTTTTGTCCCGAATCTGGATCCCGATGGAGTAGATCTCCTTTCTGTAAGTTTACTGAACATATGTGTATAAATATACACTCACACACACACGCATCTATATGTTCTGCTACATCAAAGACTTGAAAGCTTGATTTTGACGGATGTGTACTGAACCTTTAACCAATTGAAGTTTTAGTTGATTTATAAGGTCATCAATATTTTTCCCCCTTGTGAGCTTTCATAGTTTCTAAATCGAAACCAGGGACATTGGTTTTGGCTCGTTGTATGTGCCACAATCAAAAGTGGTCATCTTGACCTCATCAAGCTCAAACTAAACTGGTCTGACCACATGAACAATATTCAATAACGGGGATTCGTGAAACTCCTAAACCAAAACGGAAAAAGCAAACTGAACTTCTGTATATCTATGAATGATTTTTGAGCTCCTCTGCAAAAGCACAGATGATAATATGTCTGTTATATTTGTTTCAGAAAATGCTGTTGATGGATCCGACCAAAAGAATCAACGCAAGAGCTGCCCTGGAGCATGATTACTTCAAGGATCTTGGCGGCATGCCTTAGAGAAAGGCCATAAAACTAGTAATCTCCTTCATTCTATATATAATTATCTTTCAATCTTAATCCTATGAAAAATGAAGAACAATATTAATGTGTTTTGTTTATTCTTTCTTTTGAGTTATTTTCCAACTTATTCTAGTACGAAAAAAAAAAGATTTCGAGTGTGCTTTGTTTTTTCTTCCAAGCTTTTGAGATCATTTTCTTGTATCTCTTTTACCAAGAATAATATTATCCTATTCGGTTTTTTTGCAACATATCGTATTATGTCACTTTTGTATAATTTTAGTGATTATCATCCGGTCTTATATAATCAAGTCTTATCTTTCTTTATATGTGGATCTAGGCGTGATTTCATTAGTTTGATTATTGGCATGAGACGGATTAAGTTCGGAAGAGTTGTCTTCTTGTTCGACTTCTTAGCTGTACGAGTGAGCCTTGCTAGTATTTTATTATTATCCCATTATCACCACTAAATTTTAGTAATTAAAACCTACATTTGATTAGGCATAAATTGCATGAAAAAAAAAAACGAAAAACATATTTGCTGAATGGTTTTTCTTTAATATTTGCTGATTTTTTAACTTAATTTATAAAAGAAAAGCTATAGAAACATAAAATATTAAATGAAGGTAGGCTGACTAATGAAAGGCCTATTATGGCCAACGTGAGACCAGAGATGTACAAGAGGAAGTGAGTTGTCTGTAGATTAGTTAACGAGAGAAGAGGGTCCAACAAATCATTCACATGAGACCAAAATTGACGAGAACTGTTCAACACGTATTGGATGATTATACAATTTTACGGCAGGTCTAAATTCTAATAATAATATCCAATGTAAATTTAATAAAAACTAAACGAAAGAAGACAGATCATTATCTGATGACCATCTAAATGTTGACATGATTGTGATATTAATCAATCAGCAACTACAATCGACAGGCGCGGTTCTATGGATATGTTTCGCATCCAGTAGGTGAAAAAAAAAAATCTAATTGGTAAGTATTCAGACGATAATTAGATTCAGATAATCTTATATATATATATATTACCTGGAAATAACTTAAGGCGTGTGTAAATGTCAAAGATTAATTTACCATAAAGTTCCAAAACAAAAACCCAAACCAAAAAGTTTTCCGTTAATTAATAAGATTAATTTACCATAAAGTCGATGAATTTAAATGTTTGATTGAAATTAGTTGACTCGTAAAAGGGGAAAGAAAAGGTGGCTTAGACCAAGTAGCCGGAGGAAAAAAATCACAATTCTCTGTCCCGACTCCGAGTCAATAATACCTTTTTTGAATTTCTTTTTATCTTCTTCCTAATTTCTCTCCTTTTTTTTTGTTTTTTTTATCAAAAATTATTGCTCGAGACTCGTTGTAGCAAAAACGCGATTGATGTTAGACTTGCAGCCGTCAGATCGTCGTCCCGGAGCTCCGGGCGGCGGTGGCGGAGATGAGCTGATCAGAACATATAAAGGGTGGAAAGGGAATAACGTGAGCTTCTCTTTTCTTCTCTCCTATGATTTTTGTTTTCTGGGGGGTCAGATTTAAGGTCCTTTTGAGTAAGATCTGAATCCAAAACCCTCAGATTTTGGTGGAATTATAAAATTTATTGTTGTTTCTCCAGAAGTTATGGCATAATCATTATCGTCCTCTTGTTTTTGTTTTGGTTTTTCTGGGTTCATTCTTCAGAAGCTTAGAACTATTTAGTTGACCTCTATACCCTAATTTTGAGATGTATGAGTTTAGGAAGTTGTTTATTTGGTGGGAGGTTTTGCTAATTCGCTTTCTTAATTTAGAATTTGACTTTGAAATCCCTCAAATCCTACTTGTATCACCGTTAAAACTAGTTTTCTATGTCGTTATCATCCAATGATTCACCAAGATTTGTACTTTCTCTGAGAGAATTAGAAACGATGGATTCCTCAAAAAAACACAGTTCATAAATTATTTGGATAACGCGTCTTATTAAGCGAACGAGATACTGGTCTCTTACAAAGTTACAGTGACAAAATTGTCTCTTTTGGTTATGTATGTATACTTCACAAGACTTGTTAATTCATATCTTTTGGGTATGTATGAACCCAAATTTGTCGATACTGTACTGATCTTCGATATGTTATCTTCTTTTTTTTTTCTTCTCCAGGTGTTCTTCCTTGGAGGAAGGCTCGTGTTTGGACCCGATGCACGATCTATTCTGATCACACTCTTCTTGATTACAGCTCCTGTCATTGTTTTCTGTATATTCGTTGGCAGAAAATTCATCGATGATTTTCCTCACCATAGAGGAGTATCAATATTAGCTGTTGCTATTGGTCTAAATGTATTGGTGAGTTCTCTCTTTTCTCATTATGTGTTTGCTCCCTGATTACACATGTCTTTGCTGCATCTTCTTTCTCTTGGCACCTTGATGATAAACTTTCAATCTTTGTGTGTCCACAGGATCTAGTATTCCTTATTCTAACCTCGGGGAGAGACCCAGGAATAATCCCACGTAATCTATATCCTCCAGAACCAGAAGGTAGTGAAGGCAGTGTAGAGCCTCGTCTTGCTCACACTCCTCAGAGTCGGTTGCCTCGGACCAAGGAGATGATTGTGAATGGAATCACTGTGAAGATCAAATACTGTGACACGTGCATGCTTTACAGACCGCCCCGTGCTTCCCACTGCTCGATCTGCAACAACTGCGTGGAGAAATTTGATCATCACTGTCCTTGGCTTGGTCAGTGCATTGGATTGGTAATGGATATTCTTTTGCCTATCTTACTTGTTCCCTCTTTTGATCGACCTGCTAAAGAGGATCATTGTTTATACCTGGAGGATTCAAGAGAAACTAATGGTAGTTTGTGGTTTGTGAATGCAGAGAAACTACAGGTTCTACTTCATGTTTGTGTTGTGCTCGGCTCTTCTCTGCATATATGTCCATGTGTTTTGCTGGATCTACGTCAAGCGCATCATGGATAGTGAAAAGATAAACATCTGGAAGTCTTTAGTTAAGACTCCTGCTTCCATAGCGTTAATACTCTACACGTTCATCTGCGTCTGGTTCGTTGGTGGGCTTACCGGTTTCCACTTGTACCTAATCAGTACCAATCAGGTAAAAAAAAAAATACAAAATTCATTTCCTCTCTTCAACGCTCTTGCTTCATCATCGCTAATATGTTGTGATTTTGGCAGTCGACTTACGAAAACTTTAGGTATCGATATGATAGACACGAGAACCCCTTCAACAAAGGGATAATAGGGAACTTCATGGAAGTATTCTGCACAAGCGTTGCCTTATCTCAGAACAGTTTCAGAGCAAAGGTATCAAAGGAGCCAGCAATCCCACCAAGGACAGTGAACGGAGCGATGTCGAGCCCGAGCTTACATAAAGTTTCACAGGACATAGAGATGGGGAGAAAACCGGTGTGGCACGAGACAGTAGAGGAAGAGCTCGGTGACATGGACAAGGACATGGAGTCATCGGTCACGTCGCGGGATTTGAGCAGAATGCTTCCACCAGAGGAGTCCGAAGGACGAGGGATTATGCATTCGAGAGAGTCGAGCAGAGGAAGGAGAGGAGGGAGCTGGGAGTTTTCAAGCCGTGTCAACGAAGATTTAAGAAGCCGAGAGGATTCTTTGTCGAAAAGAGTCGGCGAGGATAGCTCAGCGTCTTCAGGCAATGATGCTTCCAGAGAGTTACACATTGAGATATCTGATGCCGCAGCAACACGTAGAAGCAGAACCGGAACTGGTATAGGACGGTTATAGTCTCCGGTTTGAGCCTATTATTAAGAAACTGTTAAGAAGAAAAAAAAAAACAAGATTGTGTGATTCATTCAGGTTTGTTTGTTTGTTTTCCAAATTGTCACGACGACTCACGAGCTTATTATGTAAAGTATATGTTTAATTGGATAAAAAAGCTTTTTAATTAAGAAAAGTCCTCTGAATATTTCACATTACTAAAAATAGTAAACTAGATACCAAAACATCAAAACTTATTCTACTTGAGAGAGAAAGCAGCAGAGATGAGTTTCTCGTCTTCTTCATAAACCTGAAGGTTCTTTGACTTCATAAGAAACTCTAAAGCCTCTTCACCGAACTCCATCAAGTAAGCCATCTTCACGAGCTCAGATAACCGTCCGATCTGATCTTCCCTCTCCCACACCACTCCCTTAGCAATCACCTCACCGAAACACGTGGCGAACTCCAAAACCTTTCTTTTCCCACACGCTTTCTCCATCTCCTCCACATAAACAACTCCTTTCTCTCTCTCCCACCTCATCATCCTCTTGGCTTTTGCAATCACTTTCTCTCCCTTGGACGGAAGGTTCAGAGTAAACTCCGTCGAGATCGTCACCGGAGTTTCCAGAACCTTTAGTTTAACGAGGCTAAATATGATTTTGTAACGTTCCTCAGCTTCAATCTCGAGAGATGGATCAGAGACAAACCCGAGAATGAGCCTCACTAGACCCGGTCCGATCAATCTGTTCTCTTGGTTCTTGATTTTGACTCTTTTGGTTAGCTTAGCTTCTGCAATCTCCACGCATTTGGAGATCTCTTTGACGCCGATTCTCCTGTAAACCTCCGTTAGCTTCTTTTGTGACAAGTTAGGGATGCTTGGAGATGGGTACCAGAGGAAAACAGGGGAATCAGTGAAAAGATCTTTCAAGAGCAAGTCATCAGCTATGAACACGTCGCTTTTGCTAGACAACAAGATTCCTCCATTGTTGCTGCTGCTGCTATCTTTTGTTGACTTTACGGGCAAACGCGTTACGGATTCAGAGAAGAAGTTCTCGGCTTCAAATGAGTCAATGCGTCGCACAACGAAACTCCAGAACGCGCAACACTCTTCGTTTGACAACCTTTCTGTAACGCCTGGATCTAGGCCCAATAGGAAAAGGAAAGATCCATATGTCAGAAGTCCAAGAGGAAAGGGTATTAGGATTTTCCCAGAGTATTCCCTATATAAATAAAGGTAGAGAGTTAGGTTTTCCATCACCATTCCCAAAGCACTCAGAGATAGAACCTAGGAACCCTAACCGAGCAAGCCGCCGCCGCCGTTCGTCTTCACCGCTGAAGAGGAGAGCCACCGTCGTTCTGCCGTTCCTAGCCACCGTTTTCTTGAGTCTTTTGCTTTTCGTCGTTAGATCTCTTAAACCCTAGATCCCTTTTTTAGCTTTCATTCGATTAGGCAAAGGTGAGGATGTGTTCATGTCTTCCCTTCGATATTGTTAGCTAGCTTCTCCTAATTAGATCTGACTTCCAAGTCCTCTAAATCCCCTACAAGTTCCGCTCTAGGTCGTAACTTGTAGATCTGTGCTGTTTGCTAGGTTGTTATTTACTTTCAGAACATAGATCTAAGTATGGATTAATATGGTTGATTGTTGCTTGATGTTGAATATTGCTTGTGAGAATTGTGAATTGCATTGCATTGCATATAGTGTGTGAAAGCACAAACTGCATTAGGACCCAGCAGTGAGAGGCACTGCTGGCATGATTGACGCCTGCGGCAGAGGTCGTGCCTGCCGTAGTGCCATGTGGTGCTCAGGTCGACGGGCCAGTCGTGCAGCGACTTAGACTCTTGCGGAGATGCTTTCCCTAGCAAGGGTGTAAGACATACGAAACTTGTGGAGGTTAATCCATGGGATACTGTAACGAGAGGCGTTCAGTATGCTCGCTTTGTTCATTGCATATTTGTTTGTTGATTGCTAGAGGAATCATTAAACTGCGCTTGTTCGTTTGGCTCTAGCTAGCGACAGGTTGGGTAATGATATATGTGGTGGACCACGTGTATGCATTCTCCTGGGTAATCTAAATTACTCATCCCCTCCTTTCTCGTTCCCCCTTGCGCAGGTGAGCAGGAGCAGCAGGAGTGATTGGCGTGTGATGGTGGCGAGCTGGTTCTCTAGTTCGGTCCTTGGGGTCCTTAAGACACTTACTTTCTATTTCAAATGGTTTTCAGTTGGTTTTGAGACTTGAATATGATTTATTTAAGTTTAAGTTGGTTATTTGCAAAACTATTTGGATTTATGTCTATAAAAATGAGTATTAATTTGGAGTTAATGCTGTGGTAACTTGGTTGGGAAGTTGAGTGTTTAACACGTCATCTCATATGAGGAGAGGCGGTGTTACAAGTTTGGTATCAGAGCCGAGGTTACCAGTCAAACCGGTTTTGACCCGGGAGACATGTTTTCAAAGTAAAACCGTTTTTAAAAGTTTTTAAAAGTGGGTTGGGGTTTTCAAAAGTAAAACAGCATCATCACACCACGTCACTCTGCTCTCCAGGCTCAGTAAGTTAGTGTTTTTAGTTATCTTCAGTTCATCTTCATCTGCTGTCTACAGTCTACATTGTGTCTACTGTCTTCATCTGTTGTCTACATCGTCTAGTGTCTGCTGTATCTGCATTAGTTGTTGTGTAACTGCATTAGGTGTGGCTAATCGAATCGGAGGACACGATTCTGATTACTTATTCTTGTGAATAGATACCACCAAAGAGACAGCGTTTGACTAGGGCTGCAGCACGCCGTTAGAGTGAGGAAGGAACCTAAGACACTTCAACAGGAAGTGTGAGTGGAGGCAATACCGGGCGGACTCGTGCCAGGGGGCAGGCAGAGGAAGCACGTGCTCAAGCTTTAGCCGCACAACAGGCTTTAGCTGCGGAACAGGACCGTGTTGCCGCCCAGGCTCAGGAAGAGCAGGCGCGTGTGGCTGAGCAAGCGCGAGTTGCAGAGCAAGCGCGTATTGCAGAGGAAACTCGTGTAGCTGAGCAGGCTCGCATTGCTGAGGAAACTCGCGTTGCAGAGCAGGCTCGAGCTGCAGAGGCAGCTGCTGAAAGAGAAGAGCTGTTGAGGTACCGCGAGAGGTATGGAAATCCTCTTCGTGGAAACCTTAATGCGGAAGGAGTGTATGGAGGTGCCAATCCGCGTCGTGATGAGCCGCGAGTGGAGGTACATTTACCCCCGCCACCACCTTTAGGTCGTGGGCAGAACAGGGAGCCTGTACCAACCTATTGGGAGGCTATGAATCACGTTCGTCTTATGGGAACTGAGATGTTTGCGGGTAAGATCAGACAATTGGAGAAAGAAGTTGGAGAGGAATCTTAATGGAGCAAGGTGTCCGCTAGCATACTGCAGAGACCTGGCCGTCCAGTACCTGAAGGACGTGGCGCTGGTATGGTGGGAAGATCTTGTGGAGAAGGCTGAGGGACGGTATGAGCTTACCTGGGAGGATTTCAGGACGGAATTTTCCCGTAAGTACTTTCCTCGCGAGGCGATGGAAAAGATGGTGAATGCATTCCGAGACTTGCGTCAAGGAAGCAAGACCGTACGCGAGTACGAGGAGGAGTTCAGTCGTTTGAGAAGATTTGTTGGTCAACACCCAGGAGAGCAAGAGTTGATCCGACTTTTCTTTAGGGAAATTCGGGTTGAACTTAAGAATCGCTGCTCCATAAGAAGGTATGACAGTATGATTGACCTCGTGGAAACGGCTGCAACTCAGGAGATTGGAATGGAAGAGGAGCAGAAGGTTGCACGGAACGCCCAAGCTAAAGCCGCTAAGGGGATGGAAACCCATAAGCGAACTTGGGATAATGCGAACCAACGGAACGGTCCATCGCATCCGTGTAACAGGTGTGGGAAGTACCATCATGGAGCGTGTCGCGGAACGGCATGCTTCAGGTGCAACCAACCGGGCCATATGGCTCGAGATTGTCCAGCAGCAGCACCAGTGGAATCATGCTACCGCCGTGGACGGGTTGGGCACAATGCAAGGGACTGCAGAGTGCTAGTACCACATAAAGGAGGCAATCAGGGACAGCTACCGCCAGCACCGAAGAGACACGCCCCTGGACCGCGTTTGCTCATGGCAGGAGATCACGCTGGTGTGGAACCGATCGCTGGTAAGTACATAGTTGTTATAGTTTAGAGGTTTTAAGTTCTGTGTGTTAGTTGTGTGTTTGTAGAGTAGAGCATTAGAAGTAGAAACCCTGTAGGATCGGTCCTCGTTGGAGGCATAGCAGCTCACACTCTGTTCGACTCAGGAGCTACCCATAGCTTCGTTTGTCCGGAGATAGTGAGGGTTTGGACGTTCAAGGGAACCTGCGTTCCGAAGTCCAAGGGGATCCAGACGGCTGGAACCGAACTGGTAAAATCCACAGGAGTACACGTTAAAGTCCCCATAACGTTGGAGGGTGTGGATTTGCCTTGGGATCTCATAGAAATGAAGCTGAACCACTATGAGGTCATCTTGGGAATGGACTGGCTGGCCCGATACCGTGCGACTTTGGACTGTCACAAGGGGCAGGTCAGGATTCCCAAGGAGGATCGTTGGATAACGTTCCAAGGCGTTCAGTTGAAGTCAGGAGTCAGAATCATCTCGATGTTGCAAGCAGAAGAGCTTCTGTGGAAGGGGCATGAAGCGTATCTGGCCACCATTTCGATGGTAGAAGAGAAAGTAGTGGCAGACCTTAGTGCGATTCCTGTAGCCGCCGAATATGTGGACGTATTCGAGCCGCTGCAAGGACCGCATCCCACGCGAGGTGATGCTTTCACGATTGAAGTTGAGCCCGGGACGGCGCCCGTATCAAAGGCTCCTTATCGTTTAGCACCTGCGGAAATGGCTGAGCTGAAGAAGCAACTTCAGGACTTATTGGATAAAGGGTTTATCCAGTCAAGTAGCTCGCCATGGGGAGCACCTGTGCTATTCGTGAAGAAAAAGGACGGTAGCTTCAGACTCTGTATTGATTACAGAGGTTTGAATAAGGTGACTAT